AACGTGGTGACGTTCAATTTACAACGGCTGGTACAGGGATTTCCCATTCAGAACATAACGTTCATAAAACTCTTCCAGTTCATTTCTTACAAATCTGGGTAAAACCCGATAATCCAAAACTCTCCCCAGCCTATCATACAAAAACGTTTTCCGAGTCCGCTAAAGAAAATAAGTTGGTCCGAATTATTTCTCCGGATAAAAAACACGTTCCGGATACAATTGGAATTCACACAGATTTTCATATGTATGCCAGTTTATTAGATCAGGGAGCAAAGGTTACACATAAAGTTCAAGGAAATGCTAATGACGGAGATAATAAAAGAAAATTATATATTCACGTTATTGAAAAGGAGGGGATGAAAGTTTTAATTAATGGAGAGAGTTTATTGAAACATGGAGATGGTGCTTTTATTACCGAAGCTATTAGCGGAGATGAAATCATTTTTGAATCCGTTGGCAATAGAACTGCCGAATTTGTTATTTTTGATTTAGCTTAAACTTTTTAAAAAAATTTAACACGTTTATTAAGATATGTATATATTCTAATTTCATTAATAATTTAAAGACGTTTATAATGATTTTTCGCTTAAGTTAGGTTCCATTACTGAAACCCCATTGAAGTTTTTCCATTTCAACATTTTCAATAAAATCGACAACGTTTACATCTTTTACATCATCAATCAATTCTTTATAAATTTGTAAACCAATATCAAATCCTTCCTCTTTACCCACGGTATGATAAATAATTTTATCAATGCCAGCTAAATGAGCAGCCGCAATTTGTAAACAAGACATGATTGAAACGTTACCACCATAAGCGCCACATCCCCAATTTCCAGTGTGGATAATCACTCTAGGTTTTTGTGTACTTTCATCATCTTTAAGTTTAATGTTAGTATGCCCTCCTTGATCTTCTTCATGAATTCTTTCAAGAATTCCGTTCTCAACCAAGCTTTCAAATTTAGCGGCAAGAAAACCCGAATAAGCAGCAACTAATATTTTTTTAATATTCTCGATGGTATAACTACCTCGACCATATTTTGGAGCTTCGATTGCGATAATATTAGAATAATAAGGACGTCCCGTTCTTTGATCAATCCTTTCATCAAATATTGTGGTAGCTAATTTAATTGCATTAGGTGACGCTTGTGAAAAATGACGTCCGTATAATCCATATGGACGTTCGTTTCGTGCATCAGAATTTGTCATTATTTTCACTTTCCTTTCTACCCCTCTAACTAATATTGGGGTTGCTACGGTTGAGATATCACTGGATGAATTTTTGGTAAGGTTTGGATACGCGGTTGTAAAACGCGCTTGTTGATCTTTATTCTTTGCAAGGCAAACTCGTAGTGAACATAATGCGGGATGTTCTAAACATTGGCTCTCATCTTGCGCAAATAAATTCGTTCCATAATATCCGAACACGTCACTATCCGCAAAATTCACATACCAAACTACTGTATTATCATCTTCGGGTGGTGAATAATCAAATACATCATTGCTAACTTCAATTTCCAATTCACTTTCTTCCTCGCTTTTAAATGAACTTGGTAAAGGAAATTCTTCCCACCTCGTATATTCTAATTTACCATGAAATGAATCGGATTTTTTGGGTGTAGCTAATTCATAAACTAATTTCTTATTTTTACAAAACCATTTTGGTGGATTATCTCTTACTAATTCATCCGATTTAAATGATTTATGATGGGTTAAATGTCCGTTTATCACATTTTTGATTTCATTTAATTTGTTATAATTTAGTGTCATTTTTGGAGAAATATCGAAAGGAAATGGTGGATTTTCGAAAAAAAAAAAAAAAAAGGATTATACCGACGAAATTGTAAAAAGGAACTCAAAATATATTTTCATTGTTTTTTCATTTTTTTTACATGTGGGCTGATTTTGTTACCAGAATCACCCCAATCACCAAATGTGTTTTGAATGCATGGCGCAGGTAACTATGATGGAAAAAATTATCTTTTTACATCTTTTTTTTTTTTAAAAAAAAAGATTGAACAGATATGATATTTAAAATAGAATCTGTTAAGAATCAATCAATTAACGAACTGATATTTTTAATTAAAAAATTAATTTATTGATATGTTCGTTTTATTTAATTAATACTTTATCAATTTATTTTAATTATTATAATATCATCAAGATAAAAAGTAATTAAAATTATTAAAAAAATGATATATAGACATTAATAGCATATTAAAAAAAGCTAAATATAGAAATATATATACATTGTTATAATTGAAATATACCAATTTTATATTTATCAAAATTTTTATTAGATTATAGTAAATAAATTAAGTGTTAAAAAACTTACAAATATTTTATACAAATTTTTTCTTATTATAATTAATAATAATAAATATTTTATTATATCTTTTATATAATAAACTTGTAAAAATTTATTATCTTTAGTTGAAATAATAAAGTTAAAAAAAAAAGTCTTAATTGTTATTATTAATTATTATAAAATGAATTCATAAAATATTTTTATTTTTTATTATTAAATATTAATTTTAATAATAAATTTTTTTTTATAATTTATAATATATATTAAAATAAAATATAAATTATAAATTAAATTTATATAATATACTTTATTTTGATAAAATATTAAAAATATAATCAGATTTTTTTTTAATTATATTCTATATAGTCATATCTTTTTATAAATATAGTATCTTCCTATATAGTTACCTCTTATATAATAAAATAAAAGTTGAACATAATAATTATTTAGAGATTTTCTTTTATATAATCTTATTATATAATATTAAATCTATTAAAATAAATAAAAATAAGTGATAAACATATTTTATGAATTTTGATTATATCACAAACATGTTTTACAAATTTGCAAAAAAATAGAACTTTTATTAGTATAGACATAAAAAAAAACTGTGAATATATATCAAGTAATTTTTATGTAATTCAAATAAATATTGTATTATTTTTTAATACAAAATATAATTATTTAAGTATTAGTAGAATTATTATTAATAATATATAACAAAAACAGAAAAAGTAATTAAATATTTAAGTAAGTTTTCAAAATTTACAAATATATAAACAACAATCAGTTTAAATTTTTATACTTGATAAAACTATATAAATTTAAATTTTATAAGCTATAACAGCTAGAATTCCATTAATTAATAGTTTATAAAAAAATTAAATATTAAAAATCAAATAAAATATGAAATAGATAAATTATAAATTTAAAATAAAAAATAGACTTAAAAAAGTTAATTTTTTTGGAGAAATAAATAGTATATTACTTAAAAAACTTTTACAAGAAAGATTAAAATTATAAGTATTATTAAACAAATATGATAAAGAAAATATTTATAATATAGATAAAATTAACTTTTTTTTGTAAATAACCTAATTAAATTCTTAGTATAAATGACAAAAAAAGTGAATTTATAAAAATTAAAATTAAAAATTTATTTTAATTAATTAGCTAATGTATTATTTAATTATTTATTATTTATTAATTTTATTTTATTTAATTTACTTTATTTTATAAAATAAAAATTGAATTTTAATTATTTTTTTATACAAATATTACAAGAATTTATAAAATTCATTCTCTTATTATTGAAAAATTATTAAACACTTAATGTTTTAAAATTTTTTAATAGATCAACATTACCATTAAATTATATGTCTAATTCTAAAATATAAATAAAATCAGATATTTTTATTGAGTGATTGAATAATTTTAATTATATTTTTGCATAATAGATAAAAATTTTACCTTTGATTAATAATATTTAAGGATGCTAATGGTCATGATCATGATCAGTCATAACTGATTATAACATTAATCAATATTAGTCAATAAAAAGCTTATGACTAACTAATTCTAATTGATTTTATCTGACCAATTAACCAATTGACTTGAGATTGAACTACTATATTTTAAATAGTAAAAATACTTATATTAAAATTGATAAAATCAATATTTTATTTTAATTATTTATAAATTAAAATTTAAAATATTAAAAAAATTAAGTCTATAATAATTTTATATCAATAAATAAAATGACAGAATAGCTATAAAAAATGTCATACTAGAATTGTTTCATTATCTTTGTTTATAGTTGCTTTTCTCTTATCTTTCTCTTTTTTTGAAATTTTCAATACTCTTTTGAAAATCTGTCTATAAAACTTTAAAAAAGTTTTTTAATTCTATCATAAAAATATTATATATAAAATATATATATAAAATTAAAAATTTTAAACAATTACTATTAAAGCAAAAATTAAAATTATAATATTTGGCTAAATTAAAATTTTCTATTAAACTAAAACTGCTCAATTATTTTACTATTAACTAGTTGGTTAACTGGTTAGTTAAAATCAGTTAGTTAACTTGTTGATCAGACAAAGATCTTTGATCAACCACTGACTAACCGTTAACTAACTACAATTGACTTTTATCATTCCTAATAATGTTAAATCTTATTTTAATTTAATAAAATTTGAACTAATTGATAAAATCAAAGTAAAAATAAATTTGATAATAAATAAGAATCAAGTTAAAGTTATAATGAAAATAAAATAAAAAAACAAAAAAAATAAAAAAAATAAAATCAAATTTACTAATATTAAATTAGTATACCTACTATTAAATAATACAGCTTATCTTTAATTTATATATATAGAAATAATATATATTTAAAAGTAAATATAAGTAAAAATTTTGTAAATATATAATTTGTCAATTTGATTCTGAAATTGATTATATAAAATAAATATTATTTATTAACTATTTTTATTTATTTACTAAAATAAATAAAATATTAATTAATATTAATTTTTATTTAAAAAAAAATAAATATTAAAGAAGTTATTGATTTTGTTATTAAAGTTTAAAATAATATTAGTCAAAAAATCATAAAAATTATTAGATTTTCTTTCATTAAATGAGCTCTTTGCAATAGAAAGGGAGTAAACTACCAAAAAAATTTTTTGAATTAACATTAAATCTGAACTTATTTTGTTAAAAAAATAATATTTAGCTTATAAAGTAAAAAAAATTTTTTTATTAGTTTCCTCTTTTTCTATTGCAAAAAGTTTAAATGATAATAATATTGAGTTTAAGAAATTGAAGAATATAAAATTAAAATCATATTGAAGGTTTTAAAATGATAATAATATAAAAAAATTTTTAAATTATTAATAAAAGATTTTAATTAAAGAAAATCTTATAGAAAATGAAATTGTTAATTTAAATAAAAACAAATTAAAAATAATGATGAAAATAATTTTAATGATAATTAAAAAATACTTTTAATAACTTCAAAAAAGACATTAATAAATTAAAACTTTTATTAGTTATTTTAAATAATAAAATAACTAAAATACAAATAATTTAATTATATTGAGAAAATATAGTAAAATCTTAATATAATAAATTTTGATATAACAAATTTCACAATAATTTGAATTTTTGATATAATAAAGATTTTTG